TACACCGCTGTTTACATGACTTTATTTTGTAAAAAACCTCTCAAATCTTGCCAGAAGTCAAGGTTTATTTCCCCATCCTGAGGGTATTTAATCCTCATCTCATTAACTTTCATTTTAATGTACAATTGCTGAGGAGAGAAAATAACCGAAATATTTTGTCTTAGGGAAAAGATCAGATAAAAATTTATCCTGAAGCCATCAGAGATGCTTATCGCCATGTTTTTCTCTCTTCCCTAGCTGCATGAGCTTGCAGAAGAACCAGTTTTGCTCAGCTCTGGCTTTCTGAGAGAAGAAATGATTGCTGGAGAAATTCAGCTGGGCAGCAAGTCCCTGCTCGGGACGGGTTGATGATTTGAGCATGGGATAGGAAACGAAAAGCATTGCTGCGTGGGAGCACGTTGGAGCGCCCTGGGCGATGGAAGGACTTGGCTCTAAAAGAAGGAGAGAGATTTTTTCCCAACAATTTATGCAGAAAAACATCCTCTGAGTGGGGTGTAATTTATTTCTGCAGTTGAAACCATCTGTTTCTTCTCGCTTTCAGCTATAACGAGCCCAGGTTTACAAAATCAAAAAAAAAGCATTAAAAAGCATTAAGTCTGATTATTAAGCTAAATCTCACCTTCTTCCTTGGACTTTGCCGAGGCCATACCCAGGCCCAGGGCTGTCCGGAGGCAGAGCACATCAGGGCGTGTGACCAGCCCCATCCGCGAGTGCTGCTCTGGGTAATGGGTGAAAACTAATACTGGTAAAATTACTTTTTGCAAAGCTGGAACGAACTTTGCTTGAAAACTGAACTTTTGCCAAAATGAACTTTTGCCAAACATCATGTCAGCAAAAAACAATAGGAAAGGGCGGTTATTTTTTCCCATTTTGGTACTTTCCAGCCACCATTCCCTTATGTTTCTTACTTTCTGTATGAGGTTAAAACAGGAGAAAAATGCTTCAGCTGCTGCAGGTAGAAGCACAGAGAGTAATGGAGGTGGAAGTGGGAAGGCTGAGATGGCTCAGGGGGCAGACAGGGCCAAGCAGGCAGATTCCTCGCAGAGCTGCCCTGCGGTGGCGAGGACAGAAAGAGTTAAGCTGCAGTGTTGCTGGGGGAGCTCAGGTGTGGCTCCGCTTTCCTTCCTGGCCTCCAGGATTGCAGCACTGCTTGCCAGGCTTTGGGGAGAGGTTAGTAAATGCCTGTCCCAGGAGAGCTGTCCCCAAACCTGGGGCCGGAGGGTCCCGTCCCTGCGGTGTGGGACCATGAGGGTAGCACCTTCCCTGGGGACAAAGCTGGCCTGGAGGACATCATCGGTGGGGAAGGTGAAGCAGATGATGCACCCAGATTTGCCCTGTGCAGGCTGGTTTTGAACAGCTCTGAGAAAGCAGCCAGCGCTCAAGAGAGCAAAAAGGATGAGTTTTACTGTGGCTGCTGCTTGGCCAAGGAGGTGGCGACATCAACGTCCTGCCTTGCCCGCCCGGAGCATCGCCAGGCTGCCCTGGGGAGCAGCGAGCTGCGGAGCTGCTGGATGTGCAGCCCCTCCGAGGACACTGAGCTGCCAACCTGCAGGTTAGAGCACTTAACTCTATAACCAGAAACCTGGTCGTGAGTGAACAGCCTGGGTAAGTGACGAGTAAATGTTTTTAGGTGTAACCCTAGAAGCAAGTTTGATAGGTAAGTGGGAGAGAGTGAGGTTTGAAAAATGATGCTCTTTGTCCTTTCTCTGTATGGATTTACTATCTCCTGCTGGGAGGAGGAAGGCTCTGCTTCCAAAACAAGTGGTCGTTGCCAGTGTGGGCATGGCAAGTTTAATAAAACTTTTTGTCCTCTGTGTTTACCAGATATTGTGGCCGGTGCTGTGCAAGGGGCGTCCTGTGCTGCGCCTGCCGCCCTGGCTGCCTGGAAAGCTCTGCTGATGTGTGAGGGTCAAACAGCCTGCGGTGTGAGTCCAGGTCTTCAGAGACCCCCGTGACCTTACCCCAGCAGCGATCCCTCTTGCCCAGCTTTAGGTGCCTGGCCTGAGATGCTCTAGAGCAGTTGGCAGGGCTGGACCATGCACTGGTTACCTGGGGCCGGGCACTGAGGGCTTGGCAGCTCTTCTTCCATCCATCTCCAGTTTTCAGGCTGGAAGGTGGGTTTGAATCCCTTCCTCCAGATGAAAGCCTGGATAGGGTGGCTATTTTTCACTCCCCTTCTAGCACTTTTTAAAATCATGGATGCCAGTATTGCATTCCTACGGGCACATCGCCTGTGTTCACTTATTAACAAATATTTTATTTCTTGCTGCTGGCAGAGAGCTTTCTCAGGCTTTGAGAGAAGAAGGCAAAGCTGGACAATATGGGGTGATGAGTTCTGGTGCTGTTAAAAAGATGCAGTTATCCAAATTGGATGGTGACCTGGTCCTTTCTCCTGCAGAGGACTCCACTCCAGCTCCAGGCGTCCAACACCTACCACAGGGCTCAGACAGTTTCCTCTCCTTGGTCTTCTGACCCCGGAGAAGGTGGGTCAGTGATGGCTCTCTGGTTTCTTCACAGAATGAACTTCTTCGGACCCACCTGGAGTATGACTGGAAGCCGAAGTCTCTTGAGAAAGCAATTCTCAAACTACAGAATAGCACACAGTAAGGCAGAACAGAGCTGGGTCTGCTCCCAGCTTGCTGTTGGTGCCACAGATGACCTGTCTCCCTGTAAAATGATAATAGTCACAATTCTGCCCAATTTCTATCAGGTGGCTCCTGTGGGGCATCAACAAAGAACCACAGGCAGAGCTCCTAACAACATCACCCGCCATCTTCAGCAAAGCGTGAGCCACAGTGGAAGTTATAAGGACCAAAATAGTCACAGTGGCTGCCTAGTGTGACCAGCTTTGTAAGAAACCTTGAAAAACGGCCTCAGTCCCTTGTTTCAAAGCTATTGCAGCCACAACTGCCTCTGGGCTGTTGAGTTTTCCGTTTCCAAGAAGGTGCTGGACTTGCCAGTGTTTGCAGGGGAGGTGTCCTGGGGCGGAGAGGGGCCAATGGCAGCAGGAGATGACCTGAAGGACAGTACAAGGGGTGACTTCTGTCCCGTAGGCCTCTGTCTAGGTGTGGAAAGCCTCATGGGAGGGTTTAGGCTGCTGCTGGTGGCAGTGGGGACAGCTCAGCGGGACGTAGTGGCCTTTCTGGAGGAAGAGAGTGTGGCTATGAACAGGATAAAGATCTGCTTAAAGCACAAGTGAGCCTTCACTGAGAATAAGCTCAAACTGGAGAAGGTGTCTGCTCACACCAAGTATCTCTATTTAAAAGTAGGGTAGTGCGAGATGTGTCCCATTGCAGTAGCTGCAGGGATGTGGAGTTGAGAGAGCAGTGTCTGCCCTGACCACTGCCGGGTGCCGAACCCACCTGCAAAATGCCTCCAACGCGCAGTATCATAGCCTAAAACAGGTGAATCTTTTTGTTTATTTTGTGGCTAGGAGTGCTGTGAATTCAAGAAGAGCTCTGGGGTGGATGGTCTTCCCAGCATTTACATCGGGCTGAAGGACAAGCAGTCTCAAATCAGGTGGGTCATCATGGAGCCTGATATCTGCTTGTACTTATTTTTGCAAAGCTGCACCTGAGGGCGGGTGCTTGCTTATAAACAGCTCTCTGCTATCACCAGGTGGAAAAAGCAAAGGCCCAGAAAATTGCACATGAACCAGGCTAGAGCCCACCGGACTGCCTTTTCTCTGGGATAAGGTCATCATTTTGGATTTGCAGTGTTACCCTGGCTGCTGTGACAGCAAGCACAACAGGCCAGGAACTCCTTGAATTTTTTTGATTTGCTGAAACTGGAACTTTTCAGAGGTCCTGATAAAACTTCCCTTAAGAACATGTTTCAAACCCAGGAAGGGCTTTCTTGTCAGACCTAGAGAGAATGAGAAACAGCCAGATAAGAAGGGCATGAACTCGCAGTGTGAGCAACAAAGACCAAACTCCCTGCTCATCTCGCTCGAGACAAGATGCATGAACCCACCGTCCCGGTGAGTCCCCCGAGACTGGGGTCAGGCTGGGAGCTAACTCTGCTTTATCGTCTGGTGAAAAATTTCAGGTTTCATCTTGACAGGGAGTGGGATCAGTGATTACAAGATGTTTTCAGAGCTGACAACGCTGTTTCTTGCTTGGCTTTAGTGATGGGTTGTGATGAGGCGTTAGCAGGTTGCAGGATGATCAAAGGGAGAGGGGAGGGATTCCCTGGACCAGGAGGGATGCTGAGCCTCGCTCCAACGCCACCCTAGAGCAGAGGGCAAGAAAGACTAGGGGTTTCTGCCTCCCCCCTTTGGCTTTCTTTAAAATGATAAACAGTAGCAGTCAGCTGATAATGATTTAGTATGTGGAAAGACTGAGCTTTATCGGTGTCCCTATCCCAGCTCCTTTTAAGTCCTCTCTAGAAATCTCATGAGCAGCAATACATAAACTGGCTGAGTTTGTACCCACGCAAGGTATTGCGGCTGAGCCTCATAAATCCCACACGTCAGTCCAGTTTTCTCAGCAAAGGAAAAACTACCAGGTGCCAGCAGTGATGAAGAGAAGGGCCTGTGCTGGCTGGGGTCAATCTCAAAAAGCGCTTTGCACCCCAAATGTCAGCAGAGATGGGGCTGAAGCACGAGCGCTGCAGTGCGTTTGGGGTGTTGAACCAGTCTTTCTCCTGTTTTCAGGCAGGAATAATTTCTCATAAAAACAGCGGTGGAGGCGGCCCTGCAAAAGAGCTCGAATGCCTCTAGGCGGCACGAGAGTGTGTCTGATCACAGCGGGACACGCGGCCCCTCGCTTCTTGTCTGGCTCTGCATGAATTGCTTGCAGATCCCGGTCGGGGAGGCCTTTCTTATCTCCGTCCCCTGTCATTGTATGTGGTTGTGGGCTGGAGGTAGCACGGGGTGCTGTGCAGAGCACCCTGAGCCCCAGGTTGTGTCCCAAAGTGCTGAGAGGCTGATGTGGGGTTGCCCAGCTTGAAACAGGAATCAGGCCCCACATCTGCATGCGCTCACAAAACCTCCCGTTTGGATGAAACCTCTGCAGCACTGGCTGGCAGGTCCCCATCCTCCGGCCAACGTGAGGAGCTGGTCCTGCACAGCCGGGGACCATTGCCCCTGTCCCCACAGCGTGCGAGCCCCAGGTACCGCAGCCCATGGTTAGTGCTGGGGCAGCAGTTGCTTCTTTCTTCCCTTTTATTGCTGAAGAGATCTGCTTGATCAAAATGATGGTGACTGCATTTGGACTACCCAGCCATCACATCTCTGCCCCCTAGCCAAAGACAAGGAGTGATTTCCTCAGGTGCAAGTCCTGGGTTTGATGATTTTAATACTGACCTGCCTTTTAGGGGGAGGTGGAGTGTGGTAAGAGATTTCTGGAGATAGCGAAATCCATCTCACATCTCTGGGACACGCAGCTCCTTCAGCAGTGGCACAGCATGCTCCCGAGGGGTCTGTCTCCTTCCACGGACGGCAGCGAGAGCCTCGGGGACTGGCTTAGACTCATAAGGACATTTAGGAAACAAAATCCAAATTAAATAAAGGTTTATGGATTAAACTCATTGGTAGGAGACTCTTACAAGGAATTCAGTTTACTTTCATTCATTTAAGGAGAACTAAACTGTGTCATGGTTATTTTAATTCTGCTAAAAATGGTACAAAGAAGTTGAATGTGCCTTATCTTAATCCACTTGAAAAATCAATTCAGATTAATTTTCTTGAGTGTCTTGCATAGTTTGCCTTTGATTTTTCACATGTTAATTACTTTTATTGTGCGTGGCTGAAGCCTAGCATGACTGTAGCTTCTGTCAGTCACAGAAAATGCTCCTGTGGTTACATGCAGACTTTAAATACAAAGCTTATGTGTTGGGGAATCAGGGCAGAGAATGCTCCTGGATGGGTCCTGTAAACCATTTCACAGAATTGCTGTGGCTGGCAGGGACCTCGGAGGTTTTGAGTCCAGCCCCCCTGCTCAGAGAAGGGTCAACTGGGGCAGGCTGCTCAGGGCCGCGTCCAGCTGGGTTTGAATATTTCTAAGGCTGGAGCCTCCAAAACCTCTCTGGGCAACCTCTTCTGATGGCTGACCACCTTCACAGTAAAAAAGGTTTCTTTTATGTTTCAAAAACAGTTTTCTGTTTTTCTGTGTCCCTTAGCATGTGATGCAGAGCCAGAGAAAACGACAAAGTGACCAACAGCTCCTCCATGGGAACAGCTGTACCCAGATCATCCCAAAGGATTTGAACACAGATGCCAAGTGATGTCTGACGAGAGTTTGTACTTTAGCCACTGCTGTTTTGAGGCTGAGATATCTGGGGCTGACGTTTACCTTGGCATGATATACAGAAGCATTGACCAGATGGGTTCAGGAAGCAAAAGCTGCACTTTGGGGAACAACTTCTCCTGGAGCATCCTGCGGAATGGAAAGGGTTTTCTGCATGGAACAGTGACGTGGAGATGCCCCTCAAAATGGATGTGTTTGGTAGGACAGGGTCTACCCGAACTACCCTAGCAGGACCTTGTCCTTTTACAGGGTCACCTGTGATGACGCAACCTTGATGCACCAGTTTGAGTATGATTTTGCTGAGCCCCTCTACCCTGACTTTTGGCTTTTAAAGACAGAAAACTCTCAGGATAATGTGACTGGGGGAAGATGCTGAGAAGATCCCAGCCTCCTTGCCTTCCTTTGGGGAGCTGCTCCCTTCAAAGCATCTGAGTCAGAAGAACTGGCCAGTGCTTAGGCTATGGTGTGATGGGGATGCTTTTGCTGCAGGTAGCTGGGTGAAGAAGGGAGAGATGTTTCCATAAAGACTCTTGTAATCAAATGTTGTTCTGAGCATCCCATATTTTAGAGGTGGACAAGGCTTGAGAGTTTCATGCAGTTGCTTGTCCAGGGGTTGGTGCAGATTGTTCCCAGCAGTATATCCATTAATATTCTGTTTAGTATGAGTTAAAGCCTTTTTTTTTCTCTTTTTTTTTTTTTTTTTTTTCCTCCCCAGGGATGGTGGTGTGTCACTGCCCTGGCATGTTGGTCTTACCAAGCCAGTGTAAGTGAGCAGACAGAAGCCAGGCAGACCAAGGTTGTGTTGCCATTTTCCCTGCTGCGCAAGGGTAAAAGGTCTCAGCCCGCAGCTCGTTCTCAGCTGGCTTCAGGATCAGGGTGGCACGGGGGCAGTGAAAGGTCCCTCTTGGTCCTCCCACCCCCAGGCCTGCACCAAGAGCAAAGAGCTATGGGGTGGGCTGATGTGGGCATGGCGTTGGGCAGGAGAGACCCCGTGCAGTGTCCCCAGGAGCAGCCAGGGAGCAGCAGAGGCTGCAGAAGTGTGGGAACGGGAGGATGAGGCAGGGAATGGGCTCTGTGCTGGGAAGAGAGGCGCGTTCCCCAGCGGAGGAGCAGCAGCTCAGCTCCCACCCCGCAGGAGGGGGCTCTCAGCCCGCTGCCGGCTCCGCTGCCTTCCTCTGCCTCCTCCTCTCCCTCCTCTGGCAGCGGTAGTAGGGACGGGGCCCTGCAGCCCCCAGCCCCCGCAGGCCACGGGCACCCCAATGTCCCCCCTTCCCTCTCCCCCAACCTCCCGCCACCTCCCAGCCCTGCTGCCGTGTCCGCCTCGCTTGCTGCCGTGGGACCCCACAGAGGTCCCCTGTTAAAGGTGGGTGACGAGGGGTGCTCACGTGTCGGGTGATGTCTTACCTGCCCCAGCACCCCTGCACCCTGCCCACGCTCCCCTTCCCCTTGGCGAGTCGGTCGTGAGTGCGGCTTTCGGAGTCCCATGGTCCGCCACCTCCCAGCCCTGCTGCCGTGTCCGCCTCGCTTGCTGCCGTGGGACCCCACAGAGGTCCCCTGTTAAAGGTGGGTGACGAGGGGTGCTCACGTGTCGGGTGATGTCTTACCTGCCCCAGCACCCCTGCACCCTGCCCACGCTCCCCTTCCCCTTGGCGAGTCGGTCGTGAGTGCGGCTTTCGGAGTCCCATGGTAGCAGAGGGGACCGCTGTAAGAGGGTCCCATCGTGGGCTAATTTAGCTGTGCACTCTGCTAAGTGACCTTTGAGGGACCCAGAGTGACCTTTGCAGCACCCTTGCGCCCAGGTCCAGGGAACAAACAGGTGGGAAGCAGAGAAAATTCCTTGCACACCGTTGCTCTTCAGAGGATGGGTCAAGCTGCAGGTGGCAGATTGGTGGAGCTACAGGGACTGCTCAGAAACTCAAAATTTCTACCTTCCAGAAGTCAGCAGAGCCAGAAGAAAAAGAGAAAGAAACTTCTACAAAGCACTTTGCAGAGGAGGTTTTGCAAGTGGGGAAACTGAGGCAGGGGTTGGAGAAACCATTGCCAGTGGTCACCTAGCAGAGAAATGCATCCAGGTCTCAGGGTGCCTGGTCAGCACTGAGCCAAGTGCAGTGTTAGCACCAAGGTACTGCCTTTATCCCCGGTACTTTCAGCCTTGGGGATGTGAGGGATAAACGTTTATTGTGCTCTCTGTACGAAACAAAACAAGAAGTGGCAAGGTAGGGAGAAGAAAAGAAAAGGCACCGAGGCATGGGAATCTGCATACAGTTCTTCTACTGTTCACCAAAGGGTTGGCCAGAAGCCAGATTTTAACTTTTGACAGTTTTCTTGGGGAGAAAAAGACAAATAAAACACTGAAGCAAGGCCAAACCAAAGCTATTGGCTGTTGAAATCCAAATGTTTTAAGTTTATTCTCATTTAACCACTATAAAAATATGTGAAATGGAAGAAGAAATCTGCTTTCTTATGACCCAGTAAGTCAAGAGTTAGTGTTTCATAAAATGGTCCAACAAGATCCAGTGTCTCAGAGATGAGGCTGGGCAGTGGCATCTGGACAGGAGGTGGCCATTTCCATAGTGAGGGCAGTAACAGCCAGGTCCCCTGAGCGGGGCCGCGGTGGCTTCCCACTGCCGAAGGCCAGCAAATGAGTGGATGTGTAGCTAAAAGAAAAGTTGCTGTGGTGATGGGTGTGTAACAGCTGGTGCTTAGAGAGGCTCTTTGGCCTGCGTTATGAGAAACGTCAAATTACACAATTAAATCAGTCCCCGTTGGTTTTAAGCCTTATGGATCTGTAATCCCAAGGGTGCACTGATGGATTTACTACCGTTTCACCGATACTCGTTACAAGAGTATTTTGTTCCAAGACACTAACTATAGCAAAGGGGCTGTAAATTGCACCCATGCATCAGCCCCGGCAGAAGAGGATCTGATGCTGTAGAGGGTCCAAAGGGGACAGCATGGCTGAAGCAGAGGCTTCCCACTGGCTGTGTGGCCTCAGGGGGCTTTGAAACGAGGATATGAGAAGCACTGGGGCTTCACTGAGTCTCCAGCAATCCCAGGGATGGGGTAGAGCACTGCTTCTCCTTTCTTTGCAGGCTGAAGTTTCCTTTCTCCTGGCAGCATGCTGCACCCACACCTGGAACGTCCCTGGCTGTGTCCGTCCCTGCACTTGTCCTGCCGGAGATAAGATTTCATGTAGGTTAGATGTGCTTCCAGTTCACCCTGGCATGGACAGAAAGGAGGAATAGCCACAACACTTGCTCATCTCAAGCTGTTGCAGAGGTGGCACCAGCCATGAACCCAGCTCCCACGGTCAGCTGCAAAAACAGCTCCTGTATCCAGGCTCAGTCCTGCTCCCCCTTCACCCCCGAACAGCCGCACCAAAATCCACTTCCCAGCACCCGTGTAGTGGGTGCTCCCGGCTGCAGGCAGGGATCACGGCAGTGGCACTGCCCCATGCCCCAGTGCCACAGCTAAGGACAGAGCTGGAGAAACCTCCTCCCAACACTGGCCCTGCTGCTCTGCTCAGCTCTCATTTTAGCTTGGCAGCCCATGCCCGGGAGTTACATATTTTCTCCCCGGAGTGCCAAGCTGCTCCATCCCCAGGCTGCATTCAGGGATTGGCATGCAAATAAGCCCACTGCTGCCTCAGACTGTGATAATTAAAAGTGAAGTTGTAAAACAAGCAGCATCAATTTTTGGTGCACGTCCCCAGCAACACATGGTGATTGGACTGAGCTAGGAGACATTTCGAGCTACGCAGCAAACTCTAAATAGCCTGGAGAGAATACATGGGAATTTAGCTTGTGCAGCAATTTCAGATGTCAAAACAAGTTTCCTTGTTAATATGAAACTATTTGGACTTTGCATTTTTAATTAAAGCTTTTAATTATCCAACTGTATTTTATTAGCTTTTATGAAGACAGCTGCTTTAAACGCTATAAGCCAAATCTGTGCTCTGAAGCACTACTTGTCCGAGACCGGGTTTCGGTTGTGAACAGCCTTCATTGTGAGTAAATGGGGTTGTTTAATTTAAACTAGAATTTACTGTCCCAGCTTGATTGAAACTCTTTTATGGCAGAGATGACAAATAACCTCAGTAGGAGCATTCGTTTGCCCACGGCTGGGAGGGGATGCTGAGCTGGCAGCCTGAGGACTCGCTCGTTAGCCCCTTCCAGGGTGAGCACCAACTGCTTCTGAAAAGGGTTTCTCTGCCCACCTCACCTCCCTGCTCACGTCGCTTTGTCTTTGAGCACCAGAGCAAGACTGAAAGCTCCTGGGTGGAAGCCTCTTGCACCCTCGTGACGGGTTTTGAGGTGCTGAGGTCCAGGAGCTGGTGCTGCTGGTGGGTCCCTGCAGGGCAGCGGAGTCGCCCTCCCCGGCGCGGGGGCTCAGGGGAACTTGCTGGGCTCTGGTTTGCAGGAGGTCAGGCTCCATAGCCTGTCTTCTCCCATGCCTGCTCTTCAGTACTGTGATCACAGACTATCTTTATCAAGCAATAGCTAGTGCTTATGGTCCTGTTCATAACACGGATTACTTATTCATTGGGATCATGTTATTTACAACTGCAGTGTGGCCTCTCTTGATTTACAGCATCCCAATAGTTTAACAGCTTGTAGAAGCCTTTACGTCCTACCTGTTCACAGAAGAGGCAGAGAACAGAATATCTGAATACAATTGCAAGGCAAGAGGTGACAATCAGGATGGGGTTTCTGGCTGGAGCGCAGCCCTGTGCTGAGCTCAGCACCGTGTTCACGGAGAGCGCTCCGGTTCAAGACCTTACTCTTCATCACTGTCGAAAATCAGCAAAATGTACTAAATCATCTGTAATTTGGTGAGAAGAAAGGCGAAGCGGGCAGCTTTTAAGCACTGATGCAGGTCAATCTATAGCTAGCAAGACCTAGCAGGATCACAGGCTGAAGCGGATAGCTGTGCCCGAAGCTGAAAGGGCAGCTCAGGAGCCCATGTGCGCGGTCCTGCCTTAGAGGACAGACCAAAAGCCTTGGTGCTGGGCAGGGCTGTTCTCTCTAGGCCTGTGTGTAGCTGCTGGCGATGACCTTTCTTCTGTCCTCTTCTGTGTTCCAGGGGAGCTGTAGCTGGGATTGATATGGGCGGAACAGCGTACAAAAGAGGTGCCACTACCTAACACGGTATGTAGGGGCCAAAAGGACAGCGATGCACACAGTGTTAACAATCACATCTACATACTTGTGCATGGGCTGGAAGATCAATGAATTGAATGTCTTCTGGCTTACCTCGGACCAGTGCCTGTGCTCACAATTTGTACCTGGGAGCATTGCAGTGCCGATGACAGATGGATGCCTCCAATGGATGGATTCACAAGTATCTCCCATTTATCCCATCCCCAGTGAAAGCTGT